GTGTTCACTACGTACACTCGCCCCGAAGAATTGACTATCCTCTGCTGTCGTCTTAGTATTTTCCTTGAGAAGTATCACGCCCATATACTGATTTTCAGGGTCACCTATTATACTGCACAAAACAGTAAAAGCTAGGCAAAAACTGGGTCTGAAAGCAATTTATGCATCTTAAGTGGGTCTAGTAAACATTTTTTCTGTCGATTATGGGGTACCAGAGAGCTTCCGCAATGAAGTAAACGATTGTGTTCTTCGTCTTGATCTCCATTTTGTCACTACTCTAGCGCTTTGGTCGTACCGGGGTTTGTATTGATAGGACGATAGGCCCATCCACCACATTAAAGCTTTTGGAAGCCAGGTTATCGTTACTGTCGTACTGGTACCTGTATCGGTTTACTGGATGACCACCCCACTGTGTTGAGCTGTCCCTTTTCAGCTTCATATCTCTGAAAAGATAATTTTGCAGTCCAAATCCTCGATTACAATAATTAGGTAAAATACGGTGATAGGAGCCCGAGGATACCGGCAGGTGGTGTACCCGAATTCGGGTACCCGTTGAGTCGTGGTATGGTCTACAGCAGGTGCTTCGCGATCAATGTTGCCTCTTTTTGGGATTACAGCGATTACGCTATCTATACCTCCTTCTATACCATATTCCAAAATACAGACTTGTAGCCACATTTCCCACAGCAATTACGTCCCATGCTGCTGCTATTTTCGCGCTATTTATTGGCAACCTACACTCTACCTCTTTGTACCTCTTTGCTAACAGTCGTATGCGGTGGGTAGCGTGACGGCTTTATTAAGAAGCAACTTACCACCTCAGCGTCTATCAAGGGTCTGGTAATCAGAATGCGTTGAAGAGCTCCAAATAACTTCATACGTATTCATTCATGGCCTAGCTCCATTTTTTTGATACCTAGAATTCTTCCAACCATTACATTATAAACAGTATTTCGTTCAGTGTGAACACGAATCCATTAAGCCCCACAACCTCGTAGCTTAGCTTACAGCAGCGACAAAATCTGAAGGGAGGTATACTTATCTAAATTAAAAACTACATCGCGAGAACGTCGCTACAAAGTTTTCGCATGATCACTTGTGTTAGTTATTAGCTGCTGCAGAGTTCCTGCTCTCTCCGCCAGTAATCCACAAATAGTTGCCGGAATAAAGGGTCGAACTGTTCACCGTCCAGCAAACTTAAATCACGCGACGGCCATTTCCACGGCTTCCCGTACGAGCCGTCAGGCTTGCACGAGAAGTGTACTACTTGGACATGTTCCTTCAGCTCAGATGTCGTGTTGAATAGAGTCGTTTTCTCATTGGGTGCTCGACGAAAGTCCGAGTTGAGTACTGTATATACGCCTGGCAGGTATTGTACCGAATCCGCGAAGTACTTATTGAGAATGTCCATGTCGAAGCCTGCAGCGGCCCCACGTTCGCGTGCCCACCGAATAATATCGTTGAAAACGTCCCCACTCGGCTCTATTACCAGCAACGTACTCGCGAAGAATGGCTGTTCAAGCCAGTACGCGGTCGGAGCATACAGTGGAGCAGAAGGTAGGTCGAAGAGGTGGTCCAGATTAGCCATGGGCACGGCGTCTGCGTCAAGGAACACGACGCGGTCGTATCCCCAGTCTTGGAATGTCCGTAGCTTGGTCAGTGACTCTTTCCAAGTCGGTTCCGCTGCGTCGGCCTTCACAGGGTCAACGAGTATAGTACGAACGTGATATCGATCATGTAATTTACGGAGAAGTCGATCACCGATTCGGCGGGTGTGCAGCACGACAATATCAATGCGACTCGAGTTCATTTGGAGATCGTTTGTAAGACGGTGAATAAACTGTATCGCTGCACACGCATACGTGTCAGTCGTCACGTAGAAAAAGTAGGCGAATCGCTTCTGATCCTCTGGTTGTGATGTCTTGTCTTGATCACCGATCCGAAGACTAGTAACTGCCGCTGCATGTGATGCGTTCCGGTCGAGAGTAGTTAGCGCTTCATGCTGCGTATACGCGACTAGTGGCCCTACGCCTTTTGTTAGGAGGAAGCACCACCCGCTGATTCCAACCATGAGCAGTGCAGCTAGCACCACAGCAAACGAACGACACTGTGTTCGTATCCGCCGAGTTGACATCTTGGAGATATGGTCTTTATCAAGCTGTGCCTCGCCATCTTGGCGACGCGATGTGGATACCGTTTTTGTCCTGAACATTTTAATCGACCAGTGGGGCGGAGTTGCGATCGAGGAGCAATTTTGAAGAATGTCAGTGCATCACGCTGCGGCG